TACATTCTAGAATCTCTTTAGAACTGACCTGGACCTGAGAAGTCTGATCCAGCAGAACTTATTTTATATACCCACTTCATGTGTGTTATAAAAGCTATCCAGTATCTTTATTAGATCTCTAGAGTGTACATGTATATATCATATATATGTCTCCATATGTGCATACATGGGGTATATTCATAATCTCTATACCCCTGACTTTGGTGTTTGAAACAAGCACACACACACACACACATGCACGCGCGCGCGCGCGTGCGCGCGCACGCACACACACACACACACACACACACACACACACACACACACACTTTTTTTGTTGTTTTGAAACAGTGTCACTGTGTAACCCTGGTTGGCCTAGAACTTGCTATGTAGACCAGGCTGACCTTGAACTCATAGAGATCTACCTGCCTCTGCCTTCTGAGTGCTGAGGTTAAAGGTGTCTACCATGCCTAACAATGACTACATTTTTTTACTTCTCTAATGCTGACAGTTCTGTGAGGTGAATATTACACTGAGGTGTGAACACATTAGAGGTTGATGATTTATTCAAGATTATCTAGTTATCAAGGTCTGGCAAGGTGGCTCAGTGGGTAAAGGTGCGGCCACCGAACCTGAGAGCCCGAGTTCAACCCTAGGGACCCACATGGTGGAAGGAGAAAACTGACTCCATCAGTTGTCCTCAGATCTGTAAAACCCACGGGTCTGTGATTTCATAGACTGCCCTAGAGCCAATTTACCTTCATCTTGTACATCTATACTTGATGGTTTTTAATCTAAATGTAGAACTTAATTTTTCTGAATCTGTTTTCTTCCTTTTATTTTTTATGTGGTTAGAGTCTGGAAGGTTTCAGTCTTTGAGATTCCTTCCCTCTTGTGTCAACAGAAGATTTTATAAATAAACTCCTCTTGTGATTGTAGACGCTGTTCTGGTTATCTCTTGAATACTCTGTGCCTATCATGTAGTATAGAGACTCAATAAATAGCACTTTATTTGAAAAGACTTTTGTAGAGGAAGAGAATAAGGAAAATCCATATACAACACTTCACAAATAGAAAAAAACAAATTTGAGTTGGGTATCCTGGGGCATATCCATAATCTCTGCAGCTTTGCACTGTGGGGTCTAAGACAAGGAGGATCTCAGGTTCGAGGCCAGCCTGGGTTGTATGGTAAGATTGTGTCTTAAACAAGCATACAGGCAGAAGACCCCTCAATGTAGCTACTCATTGCTATTTTAGACACAACCATTCCAAGGTCACATAGAACTCTTATGCTTTTTGTATTTTAATATGTATTTCATGGTTGATATTTTTTTTCCTTGCCTGTACCTGTCCTTCTTGCTATAAGAACATGCTGCCTTGTAGCTGAAGTTTTCTGAATGTGACCTGTCACTGAGGGCTTTGTCATTTCTCTGTGGGGAGCCTGGAGAGGAGCTCTAGCAGGAGAGATGGTTACACTAGTTCTTGACTGCATGTAATGGGAAACAAGTTTTTTCTTAGATTGTATACTAAAAGTAAATAAAGAAATTATGAGAAAATGTATGTTCTTGCTAAACATGCAACTGAGAAGACAGACTATCCTGAGCAGTGTGATCGTTGTCTTTTTATTGGCATATCGTATAGATGGTGCCGAAGGTCTGTAAGGGGCAGTAGTGATGTGTAGGTGCACCGCTCTCTGGATGCTAAGGGAATGACCTAAACCCATCTCGGCCTACACGGTCTTGCCATACTTCCTATAACTCGTTGTTTGTCTGAGGAAGGCAATGAGACGGCGTCACCATGTAGCCCAGGCTGGACTAGAACTCTGTACTGCCTCAGTCTCCAGAATGCTAGTATTAAATGTGTACATCATTTGGCTCTCTATAACTTTATAAGCAAGTTTATAAATCTTTGTAAGCAGTAGAAAGAGTTACCCAAAGTGTTGTGCTACGGGAAGGCTTGAGGTGAAATGATACAATAGGAGGTGTGTTCCTGGGGATTCACAGATGCCTAGTGAGTGGTGCTGCTGCTGGTCACTGTCAGCAGCCTGCTCTTTTCTACTTTCTGTAAAAAATAGCTTTTCACTTCTTTTTGATTAACAAACTCCAATTGTCTAGTTCTTCATTGAAAAATATGGAACACAACTCGTACTAATGGGGAAATGACTTTCATTAGTTTTAAGGAGAATTTATCACTCTAAATGAAATTGGCTTTTATGAAGCAGCTGGGAAGGAGGACATTCTCATATCTTTTAAACTGTGGTCAGTGATTGTATTGCTATCATCTTTGCAAACATCTGCATGAATTAGGACACTGGTCTCTGATTATATAACATAAAATGTAATTACTGAATATAATGTATAATTACATTTTAATCAATAAATACTCTTAGTAATAACCAACATAAGTATAATTTGAAGGGTAAAAGGATATGAGATAGCTTCTAACGACTTGGAGACATCTCCCCGTAATAATTAATGGTTATGGACCAAGTGTGACTGATGATATATTCACATTTTATGTGTAGACTAGATGTTCTGAAATGTATTCCTACTCCTATAATAGCTCAGCAGTCTCATATTTGCAGAATGCATCTCCAAACTGCTTGTTTTCCTGTCCTGCTTCATAGATTAACTTTTCCCCTCTCCCTCCTCCCTTCCCCCTGCCCTCCAGTGTCTCAGTACATAATCCAGGCCGTCCTTCAACTTTTGATCCTCCTGCTTTAGCCTCCGAGTGTGAGGACTACAGTTGTAGGTCGACATACCCTGCTTACAATTAACTTGATCTGTCTGATTTTCTTCTGTTTATGAGAAAGTTGGCCTTTCATTTCTTATCTCTGAGGTTAAAGACAAGTGTATATTTTGAAATCTTGACCATTAAAACTCTTCGTTGAGTCTTTCTCGAATGATATAGTTAAAACCTCTTTCTGGTTTTCCCAAATATTTGTTTTAACCAAGAAATGATGTCTTTCCATGTTGTTTGTGGTCCTCTTGCTCAACATTTGCTATTTCTGTTTCTTCTAACTTCTCAGTTCCCATTTTTGTCTTAGTATTTCTTCTTCCACCAATTTCCTTTTTTTATTATTATTAAGAAATTTTCTGTTCATTTTACATAGCAACCACAGTGCCCCTCTCCTCCCTCCTCCCACCGCCCCCTCCCCAGTCTTCCCCTCCAACCCACTCCCCATTCTTGCTTCTTCCAAGGCAAGAACTCTCACAGGGAGTCAGCAGAGCCTGGTAAATTCATTGAGGCAGCTCCGAGCCCCTCCCCTGAACCAAGGCTGTGTAAGGTGCCCCACCTTAGGCACTGGGCTCCAAAAAGCCCACTCATTACCTGGGGCCCCTTAAGCAGCTCAAGGTAAACAACTGTCTCGCCTATGCAGAGGGCCAGTCCGGTCCCATGGAGACTCCACAGGTGTTGGTCTAAAGTTCATGAGTTCCCACTGGTTTGGTTCGTTTGTCTCCATAGGTTTCCTCATCATGATCTTGATGCCCCTTGCTCATAGAATCCCTGTTGTCCCTGTTCGACTGGGCCCCTGGAGCTTGGCCTGGTGCTTGGCTGTCCTTCCACCAATTTCTTTAATGGCGTGTACTACTTTTTCTTATGGAGTGTTGTGCTCGTTTCTTAATATAGGATATAGAACTCCCATTTTTTTATGATTGTGTGATGTATTCAGTTATCATAACACTCACTCCAATGCAGCCCAGAGGACTGTTACAAAACCTCTCAAGAGTATAAAATTGCATTTTAGAAAGAACTGTTATAAAAATATAAAATATATGGGTAATGCTAGATATTGCTAAAAAGAACTAAGAGACTGGCCATAGTAACAAGTGAGTTTGAAAACTGAAACAAAATGTAGACAAAAGTCCCCAGTGAATGGTGGGATTAGTAAGAGCAGTCTTTATATTATGTGTCACTTACTAGGGAGCATTTATATAACTAAATGGAAAATAAGACCAAATATAATTGCATCTTTTTTCTTTGTGTTGTCAGATGAGGCAGACCTTAATTAGATCCCAGTTTGCTTGTACTTACAAAGATGACTACATGACGAGCAAGAGTAGATGCAATGTTAATTCACCCTCGAAGCTGTTGCGTACTCTTCACTTGGAAAATGATATCGCTGGTAATTATCCTTGTTTGAATAATTAGCCCTCCAATTCTCTTTGCAAATACTCAGAAATGTAAAGACTTGTTTTTTAAGGCCTGGATTTGTTTAAGAAATTGAACCTAAGTTCAGATTTATGGATAGGAATAGGATATAATTTACTCTAAGTGGATTTAGAGAACTATTCATAGTCCTTACCCATTGTATTTTTACATAGATGTTTGTTGTCTGGGATGAGAGGTGACATAGTAAAATGAAATAATAAAAAGAAAATATAGCTACTTCTTGGCATTTAATTGGGTAGGATTATTATATTGTAAATAATACGTCTTTAAATACTCTAGCCATTTTAATGATTATTTTATATGTCTCATGACTTATAGTACTAAATATTATATGAATCCTCTCCCCTTGTCATTCTTCATAACAGAAGGTGCACACTCCTCTGTTGGAAGAGCAGGAATTGAAACAAGTTCTGAGAATGTGCATCTGGACAGAAGTAAAAGTGACAAAATCCCAAGAAAATCTACAGAAAATAGAGTATCGAAAAGGAAGCAGGTGGACGTAGACAGTGACAGTGTTCACCGGGATAATGGACGCGAACCATCCCGACACAGAAGTGTGAAGTTCCCTAAAGTGCCCGATGACTCCCACACGAAGGCTGGTGGCAAACTGGCCGGGGGAGCGAAGGGCAGAAGGTGTGCTGCCAGGAGCAAGCTGCTTCCTGGCCAGACCCAGCTAACTCAGTTTTTCAGGCTGTGATTTTCTCATCTCTGTGCTTTAGATCTAGATTCACCAAAGCCATGAGCTGACCTTTAAATCTCAAGATGTAAATTCTGGTGCTTTATTACTTTAATAAATGTATGTGAGGCTCACATGTTAACCACTGATCAAAAATACCAGGAAGTCAGAATTATGCAGAATCTATGAAGTTTAATGCACAAATCAAAGCACATCATTTAGATGATTTGATTACGTATCTTATCTATTTAAAAGCAGACATTTGGGATAATGCATAAGTCATATTAACATTAAGGGCTTTTCTCTCCACTTGCAATGAGTTATTTTCTTCGGAAGGGATGATGTGGACCAGCAGGTTTCAGACTTGCCAGCAGGGTCGGTAGACTCTTCCCAGCATACACCTGAGCACTGGGAGGGAACAAACAATGACTATAATTACCACACAGAATTAAGAAAAATTATGGTCCTATTATACTGAATTCTCAACAAATCAAGCCACAGTTACTGATTTTTAAAAATTCCCCATTTTGGCAGGGTCACCTGCTGTCTGGTAGAACTGAACCATGGTCTTATTAGATTTTGTTATGGTCAGATCAGTTAAGCTCAGAGCTCTTTTATAGCATTAAAATGGAGGAATTGAATTTTTAAAAGGCTACTCACTGTCAAAATCTCTCCTTCCTATAGGAAATTTAGCTGAGTTTTCTTCATCCCCAATTTCTCTCTTTTCCTGTGTTGACTCAGTATTCTGAACTCCATTCTCAGCTGGAAAAGCTACCGATCCTTTCAGAGCGAGATAAGGTTTGATAGCCAGATTCAGTGGCAGACCATGATTTATGAGGTTCTGTTTGGAGCCTGTGTTCTGTAAAGAGAAGGTTGGTTTGTATTCCAGCCATCTTCTTCAGAACAGAGTTAAAATACAGTTGCACAACATTCTTGCTAATCAATTCTAAGATGCACTACACTGTTTTCCACTTCTAAAATATCTTAGATACAAGAAACAAAGTTTTTGATAAGATGGGGAGGTACCTGGCATGTATGAAATTATTTTATCTTAACACACACTGTGTGACTCTGTTTGCATGTATTCCCATTTACAAAATGAAAATACCAAGTTTCCCTTTAGGTTATTTATAACTATAAAAGCTGTTTTCATTGCTATTGTAATAAAAGTCAGACTGCTTGTACTTACCTTTGAATTCTTGTTTTCCTCATCGTTCATGAAGCTGCTGTCATCATTTTTGTATTGTTCCAGAGAAGGAGCAGCAACTGATCTTTCTGCAGTATCCTCCTTCTGAAAGGCTTTTCCCATCCTAAATGTATTAAATACCATGTCATCTTCTACATTTCTTATGGACTTTGAAGCTGAAAGTAAAATACCTTGAGAAAACAAAGAAAAAGTCAGCATTAATATGTAGGAAGAGAGACTCATTTTTGCCATCCTTAGTTCGATGCTTGCATAAAGCCAAATGTGTAAAATGAAGAATTCCGCACTCTGCCAGTGGCCAAATGGTTCCCTACCTTTATATGTTTCCACATGAATAGAAAACACTTGAAGGACTTATCTTTTCATCATTTAGAATTGACTCATCTAGCCTTTTGTAAAGCTGCTAATGCCTGATTGTTTGGGGTTTAGTGGCCTCTTGTTTATTTTGTGTGTGAATTTTCTCAGAATCTGATTAAGGCCTTTGATAGAAGGCTTTCTGTTGAGTAGATTATAGGCTCTTGAAAGTGGGTTGTTATTAAGGAAGACCACAGGACACCAGGCTCTTTGAATATTACTGTTTCCTTCTTTGTATTTTCTGACTAAGCTATTAAAACACAAGTTATTTCATTCACGGATGATAAGGATAAAGTTTTATGCTCTTTTAATCCTTATTAATAAAAGTTATCTCCAGACAAAATTTTTATTTTATAAATACTTGATATGATCTTTTGTGATTAAAGTACATATGCTTGTCAGTATTAACAAAAAAGACCAAAAAATGGTTCATTCTTCATCTAAAACTGATCTGTCTGATGTGTTTTATCTTAGTTCCAAGAGAATAATAAATTATTAGGAAATTTAGTAACTAAATGATAAAAAGTCTGTGAAAAAATATTTATGGTTTCCATAGAGATTAATTTTAGAAGTTTTATGTTTTTGCTTTGTTTCTTATTTATTGAGACAGGTCTTGCCTTGTAGCCCTGGCTCTCCTTTAATCTATGGCAATCCTCCTGCCTCAGCCTACCAAAGGCTGGGATTACAGGTATGTGCTGTGCCACCATATCCATCTTAGAAATTATGTCTTTGAATCACATATTTCAGACTTAATTTCTAAGATTCTAATGTATTCTCATGCATGTCTTTGTGTGTGTGTGTGTGTGTGTGTGTGTGTGTGTCTATAAAGCTGTGATTCTAGGGGTAGAATTTTAGGCCATAGAATATGTATATCTTTGGTTTTAGAAATGCTTTCATTTAACAGGACACAAGAATTCCTGTTGCCACATGTTTGGACCTGACAATGCTTGAGTATCTTGTTATGCTTTAAGTTTTCACTTTCCTAATTACCAAAGATGTTAGGCTTTTCTTTTACCTATGATTTTATATGCTCTTTCCCCTCGTCCTGAGATTTGAACTCAGGGCTGTACATGCTAGCCTCATTCTCTACCACTGAACTGTATCTCTAACCTTTTTTTTTTTTCTTCTAGTTTTAATTCTTTAGATGGTGTGGCACTGTTTTCCAGTGTGGCCTCGAACTCACCCTGTAGCTGAAGCAGGCCTTTAACATTCAGAGTAGCTAGAAAAGCAGGCCTGACTTTTGGTTCTCTTTTGATAATTGATTACTAGCACTCTTTATACACTATTCTGGACATTAATTGTTAGATATGCATGTTGGAAATATGTTTCTCAGTTTGGGGCTTGTTATTTCAACTTTTTTTGTGGTGTGTTTTGATGACCTAGGCTGCTTAATATTAATATGTAATTTTTTTTCATGTTTAATTATTCTTTTTTTTTTTTTGAGCCAGTCACCTTTTATTGGACACTAGTTCTTAGGACATGAAGACTCAGCCACAGTTGGATTCACGGATGGGAGTGGGGCAGGCGGTAGTCCGGTGTGCAGCGCCCTCCACAGTGACCCTTCTTCAGTGGTACTTACGTCGCCGCTCATGTTTGAGTTCCTTGTAAGAAAGGCAGTCGCTGAGAACCATGTAGGCTGCCAGCACCATGTTAATTCCCCGAGATGCTGCCTTTCCGCACGTTGATGTACTTGTTGTAATACCGGTCAGAGCCTCTCTGAACGGCCCCCACCATGCCGCTGGGGGTGAAATCCCGCATCATTATCTAGCTTGGCAGCTCTCCAAGATTAACCTCCATGAGCTTCTTATCCTTCAGTGGCACAACTGACGCCATCTTGCAGTCCCGGCGTCCGCAAAACCCTTTAATTATTCTTAATATGTGCATTCTAAAGTAATTTTTCCTAACTCTGAGATTATTAACATATTTTCATATATTTTATTTTTAAACTTAAATATTTTTATTTTTACATTTATTATATATTAATTAGTTCTAAATTATTTAGAATGTTGCAAATGGTAGAATATTTAGGCTTTTAAGTTTCCGGCGTCTACATGTTTCCTGGGTCATTATGCATCCTCTTCCGCTGATTTGTGGTATATCTGTGCAGTATGCCAGGCTTCCTTGAATGTGTGGGTTCTTTTCTGAATTGCTCACTACTGTCACATTGACGTCTTTTCAACTTAGATTTTAATGTCTAGTAGATGACGCCCACCAGCCATCTCATCTGCTGCATTTTTTTTAAAGCAGTTCCTTGGCTATTCCTGGACAATTCTTACTTCAAAAGCACATGGACTCCTTATGGACTTTTTATGAAGACACACTAGCCCAAACCTCCAGCCAGTGTTGAATGGAGGGAACCTGCATCTCTGCATAGTAATGGTTTCAAAGAGAACAGGAACACGTTACCCTTGAGCATGACCATAGGTCTCTTGTAGACTGTCTAATGGGTAGGAGATTTTCTTCTATTTCTGCCTTACTGACAATTTTTACAACAAATTGTTGGATCTTATTGAATTCTTAATACTATGTATATTTTGGAAATGATCATATAATTTTCTTCTTTCATCTTTAGCAAGCTAATAGTTTTTTTTCTAGTATTAAAATTTTCATGTGCTTGTAAAACCAATTTTTATTTATATTCAACCTAGAAATATTTCATTCAGTTATTTTAAATTCATCATCATGAATGAGATCTATATGTTCTCTTTTCAGTATTGAATTTGAGTTTGACATTAGATTATAATAATTTCATAAAATGGGAGAGTCTTTTCTTATCCTTTACTGTTAAACTATTTGGGTGTGATATTCTCTTAGTGTGATTAAAAAATTTTTTTTTGTTCTTTTCAGCTGTAGAGAGGTATTCAACCTCTCATTTTTTTTGTCTTAAGAATTTACATTCTATGATATGTACAAAGAATATTTCATCAGATAGACATAGTTAATAATGTCCAGTCACTTGGGGCTATTAAAATCATAATAGACAAGTGTTTTCTGGGTGTTATTTAAACAGAAATCTCTGCTCTCTTTGCTCTTAGAGAGTGCTTATCTGTTATTTACTGCTGTTCGCTTGTTGGCTTTTAATCTTCTTAATGCTGCTGCTTGTGGCCTGGTTTGTTTTCCAGCATTTAGAACCTGCTTTAAGGTGTGTGCATGATCTATAGAAGTGCTTATTAATACTAACCTTGTTCTTTTCTTCTGAGCTGCTGTCTTGGAGTATGGTAAACATTAATAATTGTGTATTTTTTTTTAAGTTTCCACTCGGTGAATTGTTTTGGCTAGGCTTCCTCTAAGATTGGGGCCAAATCCAAACTATTCTGACAGTTTAAAAAATTAGTTAGTGTTTTCCTTTATTTTGCTTAAACTGTTCTAGCCTCTGAGCAATGTGAGGTTTTTTTTATAACCATTTAATTATGGAGATAGTTTCCAAATTTTAATGATAACTATTTTTTTTTTTACATCAGTTACTCTGATGTGCAATAGAGCATGGCAGATTTCCTTTTCATTGATGCTGAAAATGAAAGTTCTCCAAACAGTAGAAAGCAACTTTGAAGAAGAAAAATTATTGTCAGATGGAATTGTATGGTTCAGGAAACCTGTGTAGTACTAGGTTTCTATCAAATAAAGAACTACTATGAATACTGTCTTTGTTTGCAAATCATTTTATTATTAAACTTCTCTTTTTTCCAGTTAGCGTACTGTTGCTATGTGGTGAGAATAATTGCTGAGAATCATGTCACTTAGCCACTGGTTTACTACGAACGAGGAATTTCTGACTAAGTCTATCAGTGTAAGCCTCAGGGTTGTTTCGGAACTTGTATGTGTAGGAAAACAGTGCTTAGGGAAGTTCTTTTTTGCTGAACTTGAAAGATACAGTAAAAAACAAAATACTGTGGTTCTTCAAATACACAGAGAAACATTGACCACCTAAAAGTTATTCCTCACAGAAGAAATCCACATGCAGGTACACTGCTAAAGGAGTCTTGAAATGTACCACATCTGTACCAAAAAGATCCACATCTGATTCTCTGGCCCAGGATGTTTCAGACTCATAGAGGCTTCTCTTGTGAGTCTTCTATTGGGACTGCTGAGAACATGGGCTATAGCCAGGTTAGTCTTTGGATTCACTAGCAGGTTTAGTTTGAAAAGACATGTTTGTTTTTTGTTTGCAGTTGTACCTGTACAAAATACTCAGTTATTTTCTTTATTGCAGATGCAGTGAATAACCTGGATATTTCCACCTAGATTTTATCACTGATATTTAAATGTATCCCATTATTTTCTCTACCTTTTTTTTATACAGGATGATATATTAATTTTTATTAATTAATTAATTAATCCTTTTAATTGAGTTGAAAGAGTTAATTATTACCAGTATATTGTGTGTGTGTCTGTGTGTGACTATTATCTCTCATTCTGCTCTTAACTTAGTTGAATTTTTGATAAGCATAAAATTTTTCTTTTGATTAGACACAACTTATCAAATTAAGAATTGTTACTGCACCTCATGGTGGTGGCGCACGCCTTTAATCCCAGCACTTGGAAGGCAGTCAGACAGATCTCTGTGAGTTTGAGGCCAGCCTGGTTTACAGGAGCAAGAGTGGGGGGAGATTGTTACTGCTTTTACCTTCTAAGAAATAGTTGCATATTTCTAACCTGCAAAGATGTTTTCTTACATTCCTGAAAGCTTTTGTTTTTTGTTTTACATTTAATTCTATCATCTTTCATACTAATTTTTGCAGTTTTAAGTGGTAGGACCTGGTTCTCTGTTTTTATCTTTCCACATGGAGGCCCAGCTGTGTCAGCACAGTAGCTGAAAAGTTTTTCCTCCCTCTAATTGCTTTGCTTTGATGTATATGTCAGAAATTAAACCCCTAGCAGTAAAGAGTTGTCTGGGACCTCCTGTCTTATTTGTTTATTGGCTGATGTATTTGTTAAGATTT